CATCATTGGAGGGTTTTGCAAGATCATTCACAGCATTTTGTTCTTTCTTTTCTTCTCCTTTGCCAAAATAGACACTGTCTGGGGCAGAAGGCTCTGTGTTTAATTGCAGTTTCCTAGATATGTCAAAATAATTTGGGAATTATTCTTAACATCAACACTTTTCCAGACAGCAATTTCCACAAGTGGGAATTTCTGAAAATGCACTACAACTGTTCACTGCCAACAGACCAAGAATGACTCCTACTACAACAGAAAAAGTTAAGCAGCTCCAAATGTAACCATTTGTTGAAGGAATAATGGGAAAAAAAATTGCTGGTTAAATCAGCAAGTGTAGTGACCAATGCAAAGATTAGCCAATACAGTAAGCATTCCCTTCCAAGCACATTTCATATCCTATGCCTGTATACATATTGAACATTTAAAGTATTCTGTATAATTTATATATGTTTCTATCCTCTAAAACAGTGGTACATGAATAATATCCCTTTTTATTTTGTTTTAAACATGTATACATTACTGTTCATAATGTATAACTGAGAGCTTCTTTACAGTGCAAACATTAAAACATTGTTGTTGCTTTGACAATTCTGAGTTGTTTTTACTTTTAAATGACAGAGAAAGTGAATGGGAGCATGCTCCTAGCTGTGTTTTTATTTATTTGTTTATATTTTAATCTATCCTGGTAAAAAGCAGAAGTTATTCTGAGGAGCTGTACAAAGGACAGATCAGTGAAGGAGAAAGACTTCTTCTGCTTAGCCCCAGTTGTGCTGTTCATCAAACTCCAGAGGTGCCTCAGATTACTGGAATGTCAGGGCCTCTGCCAAAAAAATCAAGCCATGTTTGGCTTACATGACACGTATCAAGGTCAGCCTCTAAGCTAATAGGGAGGTACATCTCGTGCCTTTTGCAGGATAAAGGAAGCATGCCCACAGATCTCTGAATGGACATACAAGGTATTTAGAACAAGATTCCCTTCCCATTCAGGAATAAGAAAAAGTTGACAGTGTAGTGCATGAGCGAGACAGCTAATTTTATATCCCTTCCATTTCACAGCAGACCTTGTGCCCACTTTGACTGTATAAAAACAGAGCCTTAGCTCAGGGCAAAGCAAAGACAGCTGTCTGTTTGTCTTCCCAGCAACACAACAAACAATCAGCCCATTCTTTAATAGATGCCTAGATGTCATTTCCATCCTTCCTGGGACATCAGCTTGAATAGAGAAAGGTCTCTGGCTTCATAATATCAACTTCCTTTGGTATTTAAATTTCCCTGACTTGAATTCCATGATTATGGGTATAGGCTACCACAAGTCTGGTTTCTCAGACCCAAATATAAACCAAAAAGCAGGCAGGATAATGAAGAGGGAGGTAGGTAGTCTCAACAAAATTAAAAGCCCGACAGCCAGAGGGTCCTGCAGAGAGCAGCAGTGACAGGCTAGCAATAAACAGGAAAGATACTGATCACCACACCATCCTTTCTTCTACTTAGGGCAACCAGTTAGACAATATAGATCTCTAGATGCTCATATTATCATTTTTACCTTTAAAATATCTAATGGTCTTCCATAGGAAAATTATGTTTGTCCCAAGTAAATGTAATTGTTCAGCAAAACGAATCTGTTTTGTATATGTAGTAAATATGATTGCTGTTGCAAAGCCTTTTTTAAAGAAGCTATTTCTGTATTTAATTAACATTGGCAGATAGGCTGTTATTCTAATACAAGGGCCAACTTTATTTTTCTGGCAACTAACATTTTTCCCAGAGGGAAAAAAAAAGATCTTGTGATATCACCAAATCCTGTGAGATTTCAGCAATTTTATCCTCACATCATCCTGAGCGAGAATGCTGAATTCTCATGAGAACCCATCCAAGAACACTGACTTCTAGAGAAATTAAAATGTTTTTCTAAAAGATCTTGTAAGCTGTTCTTATTATCACTTGAGCTTATATTAGCTGGCAAATTTGTAAGTTTTCATTCATTTTATTTTAAACATATTTTTATTTTAAATCCTTGGAGAAGGGTCCATGGGAAGTGTTTAAGGTCAATGGAAATCATAGGAATCCATGATGCCAATCCAAGTACCAACTTATTAATCAAGTAGATAGAGTTATAAAACATGGAATGGCATGATGGGGAGAAAAGAGAGGAAATTGTGTGCTTCTTTACAAAGATACACATGACTGTCTAAAATCCCAAGAACCCTGTTTTCTGAAAGACCTTTCAATTTAGGGTCGAAACTTATGCAGTTTAAGTGCTGAAGCTGGCAGGATGGGAATCAGTGATTCTCAGGCAAGACAGAACAGTTTTGTAAACTCTAAGCAAGTCTCTCCCAATCTCAAAGCCAGAAAGGCTACAATCAACTTTGTTGACTTGAAAATGCAGAAGAGAGGTTAGAATTTAAAATGTGCGGCAAAAAAACTTGCACAAACTTTGGTTTCTGTATTTACAGTAACAAGAGGTAGATCTGCACATATATGATTTTTATCAGGTGTTCAATAAAACTGTATTATGTCTGTGAACTTCTTCTATAAGCAAGTTCCTGATTATGGGGTGAGGTTTCTGGAGAGTCAAGACTTATTGCCATGTGTAGGTGCCCTGCTGACGATTAGGAAATGTTAGCTTTTGAAACAAAATCTGCCCTTTAGATATATAAATTTTGCGCACAAAAGCTGTATAGGAAATCAGTGTCAATGGTAAGAGACTTCTGAATTTCCAAATTAAGATATGTTCCATAATGAATTCAAAAAGCAAAACAAAGGGCCAAAGAAAATGTAACTTTAAGTATATAGTTTGGCACTACATAATTTGTTGTGCCAAACTGAAATTTAATCAGGATCACAAATGCAATATGGGGAATAAGATAACCTCTTCATTTGTGCTATGGGTCCAACAAAAATTATCTCCTTTCCCCAAAACTATTCTGTGCATCTGTGCTGGTTTTTATTTATTATGAATATTTTAAACAGTAAATTCTGACATGTATTTCCTAATTTGTGGCACTGATATGTTTCATAATTGTTGCCCATGTACCAACAATTCACTGCTTATTCAATTGGATAGAAGCAATTCTTCACCTACCTATTATGTCCATTGCTGTAGGGCACTGGCTGAAATTACATTATTTGTCCACTCTGCCACGCCCATGCTATATTGTGAATTTGTGCTTAAAATTATCTTAATGGAGGCGCTTGCTCACACAGTACTGAGGAACTCCTCTACTTTATGCTCGTAATCCAAAAAAACAGCAAGATGAACTCCTCCACACGGCTTGTCATTTCAGTATGTTATAAGGCAAACTACTTATTGTGTTAATGTATGCTGAAAGCACACATGACTTTTAAAAATTGTATTGCACCCTAGTAAATTAGTTTATATGCTGTTTAGAACTAAGCAAAAAGGTGACCTAGCCTGCAAGACTATTTTTTTTTTGCTCATAATTGTCAAATTACTTTTCTGTGCGCACGCACGCACACACACACACACATTCCTAATTGGCGCAACTAGCCAACCAGTGATTGGGGATATTGCCTGTGACTGTGGGTTTTGCATTTAACAGCCCTGGATAGATCACTTATTACTCCTTATAAACCAAGTTAATAGTTGCAGTGGTGCTTAAAAGTGTGTGAACCCTTTTGAATTTTCAATATTTCTGCATAAATATGAC